CAAAAACAATTCCAGGAGCAGGTGTCAGAACCTTGTAAAAAGGCAGCATGATACTCTTGGGGCTTAATCATGCTTGAGGGCTTGTTCACACGGTTTCCGGTCCAGATCTGCAGACACTGTGCTCTGCATGCAGTGCGTTTTTACCGGACGCGGACAGTTTTTTTTTTTTTTTAAGCCGTGGGGCTGTCAGTATGCAGATTCTTCTTCTGAGGTCACTTCTGCCCTCTCGTAACCACTACCCTTTTGGTATGTAAAGCTGGTGATCAGACATGCATCACATGTTTGCTGTATCCAGCACCAACACCATGCCTGCAATCTGCAGAGAATGAGCTCGCAGGAGACGTCTTTATTGGGTACATCCGATCTTGAGGCTCAGGGGCTCCAAGGGTCAGTCAATTTATATGAGAATTTGCAAGCTCACTTTATTTTGCTTAGCTGCAGTGCGGTCCGTTCTCGTACGTGAGAACTGTAGCCCATAAAACATAGGGATACATTTTTATTGCAGGAGCACACGGATCTGGTCAGGACAGAATCCGGACGTTGTGTGAACAGGCCCTGAGAGACATAATTTAGGGCTTAACATGACGTCCAGATTCTGTCCTGACCAGATCAGTGCGCTCCTGCACCCAAAATGCATCCCAATGTATCCCTATGTGTTTTATGGGCTACAGTTCTCACCTGTGCAGTCCGTTCCGAAAAAATACTGCATGTCACATTCTGACTGGTCACACACGAACGCGCCGAAACATACTGACAGCCCCACTCAAACTGACAGCCCCACTCAAACAAAGTTTAATTATTTTTTTAACTGGAACACGTCAAAAACACATAGTACCATATTTGCAGATCCAGACTAACCTGTCCCAGACATGGTGTGAACAAGCCCTTAAAGGCACATGTGTCAAACTCAAGGCCCAGGGGCTGAATCCAGCCCATTTCCTAGACTTCTACTTTCAGATCTAGGTATTAAAGTTATTACTAAAACCAGTGATAATCCAATGCATAGGCAATTATGATAAAGATTAGGTACATTTATATAGTCTTACATGCCCTTTGAGGGCAACCATAATGTTGATGCAGCATACAATTGTAATTGGTTATATAGCAGGTTATAGGAGGTAGCTGTGTAGTTCTACTGATTAGATCAGCATCTAGTTGTAAGCATACCCAGCCAACATATCCACTTCATACCAAACATTTCAGGGCAACCTGCTAACATCCAAATCAATTCCTAATGGCAGGCTACCTGGGTGCAATCAATCATTTTCAACAAAGACAGCTGGTGTGTATGAGCAGCATTAGATACCCTTATTACAATTTAATGCCCAGTACTAAATTTGCGATTGGTTTAGGAAAACTGAAGTAGAATTTTATACACAATAGATTCCCATAGGGAGAAATGCTTTGCTCCAGTTTTGATAAAGCAGTCCCTGAGAATATAAACAGAAACAAACCTGCAAGAGAAGATGCAGGTAGACTGAGATCACGCAGCTTTTTAGCACTGGGATTTAAAGAAGGTCCAGAATAAAAGACATGTCTAAAAGTGCAATGCTCCCCACCCACAGCAGGTGTCTCTTACCAAGGACTGGTAGGTGTATGAAGCCTGCAGCTTCAGGTTGACAATGCGGTTGACTCCGGCCTCACTGTCCTGGTGGTAGTTTTGGCGGACCTGTGAGCTCATGATGACTTCTCAGTGGAGATGAGTCTGTAGAAGTGAGACGTAGACCCCCCTGTTCCGTTCAAGCACTGCTGAAGCAAGACTTCAGGACTGCAACAGCTCTACCTGTCCAACTGCTGCCACTCTGCTTTTATACTGCCACTGGGCGGAGCCTGCCTGGCTATACACCCCCACCCACTCGCAAGTCCTACTTGACATGTAGCCCCTCCCACTCACCACTCAGCCAAATGGTCGACTTGTTCCAGGTGACATTGTGAGATATACAGGTGATACAATCACTCAGCTCCTTCTACAAACTGCAATTCTAACCGTTCCCTTTGAGAATGATGAATGCTTACCATACATGGGTTTTAGGGTTCATGCACAAAAAAAAGTGCATTTTGGTACCAATTACTTGAGTTTATGCACATTTGTGCGTCATTGGTGTTTAGAGGAATATCACCATAAGCTCATTCCATTAGTTAGAATATTCATGTATTCTAAGCATTAGAGTAAATTTATACTGGTATGCATTCATTTACATGCATATGGATATAAATGATGTCACTAAGCTCATCTCCAAATGCAGATTTGCAGCATTTTATTTTTATGCCCCTGAATGCTACTGCAAAACACAGATCTAAACACCACAATGTCCATGGACACCTTGGCTGAAATAGAGTTGCGTTCTGAGGTGTAAAAAGACAAAAAAAGTCCCTAAAGCAGCTTTGTTTTGTCTGTGTGCATGAAGCATTATTCTTTCTGAGTCTCTAACAATTAATAAACAAAACAAATTCCAGCTTTTCTTAATTTTTATGAGCTTCTTGCTTGCTCTGGGTCAGTGACATGTTGAAGCCTGGCACAGCCAGGCAACAAGTTTTTTCAGAATGAGGCTGCAATGGCAGCACCCATACTTCTGTCATAACATGTAGTTAGTAAGAGAGATGGGGTTAAGTGAGATCAGAGTTTGGGAAAGGTGATACAATGAGGTTAAGCGAGATTGGCGTTTTGGAAAGGTGATACAATGGGGTTATGTGAGATCGGAGTTTGGGAAAGGTGATACAATGGGGTTAAGTGAGATCGGAGTTTGGGAAAGGTGACATAATGGGGTTAAGTGAGATCGGAGTTTGGGAAAGGTGATACAATGGGGTTATGTGAGATCGGCGTTTGGGAAAGGTGACATAATGGGGTTAAGCGAGATCGGCATTTGGGAAAGGTGACATAATGTGGTTAAGCGAGATCGGCATTTGGGAAAGGTGATACAATGGGGTTATGTGAGATCGGCATTTGGGAAAGGTGATACAATGAGGTTAAGTGGGATTGGCGTTTGGGAAAGGTGATACAATGGGGTTAAGTGAGATCAGAGTTTGGGAAAGGTGATACAATGGGGTTAAGTGAGATCGGAGTTTGGCAAAGGTGATAAAATGGGGTTAAGTGAGATCAGAGTTTGGGAAAGGTGACATAATGGGGTTAAGCGAGATCGGCGTTTGGGAAAGGTGATACAATGGGGTTAAGTGAGATCGGAGTTTGGGAGAGGTGACATTCATGCAAATAATATAAAGTAGTATGCTACTCCACCCTGCATGCTCCTTGACTTCCACAGCAGGGCAGTGTTGGTTAAAGGTATAGTTCAGCTTTTGCAAAAAATAATAATTAATGTACACACATTAATGAAAGAGAAAAATGTACATTTATTTCTTGCACTTGAGCCTGCAAAGCATTGCAACCGTGATCAGTAATCATTTCTGTTCTGGGCAAAGTTTTTGTAGAGCATTGGGTGGTAATAAATCCTCATTCCGAGGTCCACATCTTACCTGTACTTTACCAGTTCAACATGTCCCCCTTACTATATATATATATACAGTGGCGACTCTAGGAACAATATATGGGAGGGGGCATAAGATACTACAGGCAAATCTGGGGGGG